AAGTTGGGATATTTTTTTTATATATGGCAAAAGTTGGGGCATTTTTTTATTCTCTCTTCTTAAGTATATAATTAGTATACATGCTTTGCAATTATACTCTAAATACTGTTTGAGCAGCAAAATTCATTTCACTTCCTACTCACAAGCAAATGCACGGCAGCCACGCCACGCCAGGCCCCGCCACGCCAGTATTTGTCTTCGAGCATTACCAAAGAGCGATGATCTTCGACTGAATCAAACACCACTTGAGTAGTATGCTATTCCGTTGATTCTTCTGCGTCGTTGTTGACATGGGCCGGAGACTAGCATGAAGCTGGCCGAAACGCAGAGCATGAAAGTTTCCAGGGAGCGCTAAGCTAATTTTTGTATAAGATTAAAAGAGTACAAAACACTTTAATGAGTGCATAGAGGAAGTGTTGGCTCATAGAGGAAGCGTTGGCTCGTAGTGTGCGCAAAAACAAATACAGAGAGGGTAGGTATAAATGCCGCCCTAGGACTCGTAACCCGACTCCTTCTGAGAAATCAGCATCATTACAGCTGCCGATAAAAGGGGTATCCAATGTACATGCTTTACTATCTATAATAATAAATCCAGGTTAACTAACTAACTAACCGTGAAAGGCTACGTCATCTTTTGGTGTGACCATTACTTCAATCTTTCATCCACAACTGATCAGTAAACTATATGATGAGGCGTCGCCATGGTACTTTTGAGCTACGCTCAGCGTCCGAAGGATATTTATGTGATGCATTGAAAGAGGGCGATGTTCACTACACTCCCTCAAACACAACACACACGCTCGTGAGACGAGGAAGGAATATTCGATGTGGAGGGAGAAGGACAGCCCCAACTTGGAGTAAGAAGAACGGCTTAAGGTTTTGGAGTCAGATGGCAACTAAATAGAAATCATAAACGGTTTCTAGAGCTAAATGCAACCCCCCCGGATCCCTAGAAGTTTCACGAAGACGACCCACTTTCGCTGCAAATTATGAGGCTTTGCTGCTGTACCCAGCCAAATCACAGAAAAGCTCGATCCAACTGCATCCGCCTCGTCCAAAAAAAGCTTGAGAACATGTTCACGATGTGCAACAGAAGCACGTTGTACTTTTTCGTGAATATTTATTTGGGTCGATAATTACGACTAAACTGAAATCTTACAGAATTTAATGTGCACTGAGGCTAAATATCAATTCAAGCTTATGAAACATCTTGGGTGTACGGAACTTGAATTTCCGAAAGCTTGAACTTAAACCTTTGTAAAAAATCCAGTCGATGTGACTGGTCTATGCCACCGACATCAAAGGACAGAGGCACGTCGGTCTCTCCGCCGGCCCAAATTCCCAAGTAGAAAGCAAGATTGTGTTTCACACATAATGTTTATGACTTCGAAAAAGACGTTAAAATGCATGTGGAAACACCATACTGAAATTTTATATTTCATAAGCTCTCATAAATGTATCCTTGATTCTTGTCTTAAGGCCCATGTATTTCCCATCATATGACCTTTCGATACTTAAAGGCGCTTACCTACGCGTGAGCACTGCACACCGCGTCCGTTAATCGAAGCGTAGGACCGGCTATGAAGCTGACGATGAGGTGCAAAAGAAATGGACCTAGGTCAGCAAGATCGTCCTGCACGCCTGCAAGCAGAACACGTGGCAGCTTGAACATGGTTGCGAATAAATATATCACGTCGTAACTATGCATTTGGTCGATCTAGCCAACAAAAACGGTTCACCGCGATTTTGCTTAGCCATAAATTATGAACATAAAGTTCAGTGCGCGAGCTAAATGAACGCGCGAATTTCTCCCCGCAAGTGCTTCCTGCTGAGGTCCCAACATCCCAGCAGTACCCATTACTGCTCGATCAACAACTGCTACGGTATATGGTGCGTCTATGAAGAACATATATTTGGTACGGCGCCGAATGATAGTGCCGATGGAGGATTGAAGAAAAAATTCTAGCACTATGTGCAGAAGGCTCGTCGCCTCATCATTTTGCAATATTTCAAGCCAGTTTGAGAAAATGTTCGTCCAATTAAATATTTACTTTGCAAAGCTTATTGTGCGACGTCGACGTTAAGGCGGGACTCGCCACCTCCTCCCAGCTAATACTGAATAGGCGAAGCCCATACTTAAGATCCTACTATCCATGCGACGGGCTGCCAACGCTCTTTGCATAAAGGAAGCTAAGCTAAGGCCACCGACCTTACGTTCTCTTCAAGAACCAGTGCGAGTGCAGCAGATCGCAATCCGCTGCTTCCAAGAATATTTAAAATCTTAACCTAGGTAAAGTGACTCTTCAGTTCAAAATTGAAACGGTATTTGACTGTTTTAGTTGCGGCAGAGCCGCCAAATATTTACAACCCTAGGGTTTCCTAATTAACATTGTAACACCTAATTGATATAGTAAAACGTAATTAATGTAGTAAAACCTGATTAATATGTATTACTACTGG